CGTATATTAAGTTATCAAGTTACTTTAGCGCTCATAACACGTTTATAGAATTCGGTATCCAATTACTCGATTCGGATACACACCGTAAACGTGAGGAGGTACCAAGTCTTGAAGATTACCATCCTATTGAACGTCGAAAAGGAGCGTAAACCTCGACATTAGCTGGTTATCCGAAAGAGCATCTAGCCAGATCGATTCCTGGGAATGTGCCAAGCCCTATGACCAAGTGAAAGAGAGACAGAGAGAGAGAGAGAGAGAGAGAGAGAAAAAGAGAGTATATATATGCAAGTTTATGCAAGAGTGAGTGAGTGAGTGAGTGAGTGAGTGAGAGATAGGGGGTCATAATGCCTCTCTGAAAAAACCGGCCTCTTTCGGCAGCCATTCTTTATGCACCGAAATCCAAACGTCGACCTAGCGTCGTGCTGCATTTGCCAAGAGTGCGAGAGAAACCAACCCCACCCACTTCACCAACCCAACCACCCTAACCCCGCTATTAACGTAAGTACCGTTAAAAGTGCATTCCCGATATGATCGACGGTTTCTTTCACCAGAAACGAGGACAAAGCTTTTTACAAGAAAAATTGCAGACTTCAACGGTGAAATCTTTGTATTCTTCTGTTATTTTCATCATAAACATGACTATTGTTTTACTAAACATTGTCAAATATCCATGAAACATGATAAAGTGTGTTGTATTGTATGAACAATTGAATGAGTAAATGAAAGTTTCATCCAAATCAAATTTTGGTTATTTCGATCATGACGATGAAGATTGTTTTATTAAAGATCATGAAATGTAAATGAAAAATGATGAAGTGTGTTGTGTTGTATGAACAATTGGATGAGTTAAGAAAGTTTCATTGTAATCGGTTAAACCGAGTAGAATAAATTCATCTTAGTAGAAGAAACCTAACGAAATTCTAAGAACGAACTGATTCAAAGTTCATCGTGCGCATGGGAAAAGCAGCTATGACTTACGAGCTTTGTTGGAAGCCCATCTCAACGATGCTATTAATCATTTGACGAAGAACGCGAAGGCTACCTAATAATTCCCTAATGACCGTAACGGGTTGCGTTTTTCGGGAGTTCTTTCTTTCTATGAAAGATATGTAAGAGGAGTAGGAAAAAATTCTTTTCAAAATGAAGTGTAACGTGAAACTTATTTTTTAACTGTGTAGTATAATTATAACTGTGGACTAGATAAAAATACAAACATTATTTTAATATTATAATTATTTGCATTATAATATATATATATATATATTTATAAAATAAGTTATAAAGTTAGTATAAAATTACAGTAATAATTATTAAAATAAATATTGAACGAATAGACAAATTAAATGCACGGTTGTTCATCGTCATTTAATTTGGTTCAATTGTGTGATGTTGAATTGATTGATGTTTTATCTGTTGAAATTTATTCGAAAAAAAAAAAAGAAACAAAACCTAGGACCAAATAATACCCTAAGGTGGACTTTAAAAAAAAAAAAAAAGAAGAAAAAAGCCAAAAATATAACGCGAGCCACGAGACGAATCGAAAAATATCGCACGCGCGTCCCTTACGAAAAAAAAGAAAAGGGTTTCATTCTTCGTACTACGCCGTAAGAGTAATTTCAGATAATCTCTCCGAGTTAAAGAAAGTAAAAAAAAAAAAAAGAAAAGAAAGTAAGGAGAAAGAGGAAGAGGAAAGGAAAGGAAAGGAAAGGAAAATGCGATCGATTTCTCGCGCGTGCATTCGGTCAAAATTATACGGTTGGGTTAGTGAACGGATTATTATCCTCGTTAAGGGTGCGAGAGTGGTTGTGAAGGTACACTAAGCTCTCTGGCAATCTCTCTTCGATCTTTTTTTAAATAAAGGTAAAGAGCACGAGCCAAGTTGCTTGAAGGAAAAGAATCGAAACGATGCGAAAATTTTCATCTACAAAGGAAACGTCAACATTCGTACCAACAAGGAATTGTAAATGTGTGTATGTGTGTATGTGTGTGTTGGTGGAAACGTTGAAAAGCGACAGGAAATGAACGTAGGTGTGACGTTTACAAACGAACGATCGAAAGTGCAATGTCGTGTTCCGTTGGTTGGTCAAGGTATACAGGAGAAACACGCATGATCGATATTTCAATCCTAAATGAAAGGAATCAAACGATCGATTCTTTTGATCATCCCTCTTTTTCTCAAATGAACAATGATTCCAAAAAAAAAAAAAAAGAAAAGAAAAGAATGATACATTGGGATTAGGTGAATTATTTATTATTTTAAAATTTATAATTATTTAATTAATACTATTTTTATTTCTGTGGAAACAATTGTCCACAAATAAATAAAAAAAAAAGGATTTCTTATCTATCGTACCGCCGGATTATTCGATAATGATTTAAACTCGACCATTGATTTTTTTTTTCGAAACGATCGTAATTACGGGGACACGGTACGAATCAGGGAGAGGGGGAGGGGGACTATCTATTTTACGGACACCGGTACATCGTATGGGAGGTGCACACGTTCGGGAAGTTGATGCACGAACTCGAATTCCAGCCGGTATCGCCAGGTATTCCAACATAATCCAATAATATTCCTGGATTCGAGTTTCATACTCATTGCGTTCCTATCCGAAAAATCGCGTTAATTGACCTCGTTTAAACAAAATTCTTTTTTTTTCTTTTTGTTATTGTTGTTTTGTTTAAATTATCCTACAAGAGTTTTTACAAAAAAATCAATGAACCAGAAACCACACAGAAAGAAGGAAGGATCGATAGATCAATTCTTTGATTAATTGGTGAACTCATTTGACACTTTTAATCAAAATTCTTTTTTCTAAGTTATCCTAGAAGGGTTTTTACAAAAAAAAAAAAAAAAATAAATGAACAAGAAACCACATACACACATAGATCGATTCGATATTTTTGATATTTACTGTAATTGTTGATTTTTCTTTAATTGACATTTCTTGTTCATTTACTTTTCTTAACTTGACGGATTAAAGGGTATAATAACGTCTTAGGATAGAAAAGGGCTAACGACTACGCGCGCCATTTAATAGGTAATTAACCGAGAGTAATGGAAATCGATAATCCATTGATCGAACCGAGAACCTGCACATCCTCCTACCACCCTTCACCCCTCTAAAGGGCTGCTAATTGATTCATGAATATTTATGTCTAATGAATTAGCAACGTTGCGAAACGTAAAGCTCTCCTAACTCTCTCTCTCTCTCTCTTTCTCATTTTACGTTCAAATCTACGACTTTCTTTTTGCATGATTTGCATGATTTCGTTCTGATAAAAATCATTTTTCATTCCTTCTACTCTTTTTCCTTATCTTCATCCCCCATTCATCTTTTTGTGTGAAAACAATTTTGAAATAATACAAAATGTAGACAAAAATATTTCTATCAATTTCTTGTGAAAACTAGTTTTCTATTGGTAGTATATATACAGTGATCTTACAAAGAGGGGGTGTATGGAGCTTACACGTTCACTCGCGAACGTCTCGTTCGTGTAATTGGACGTTCAAACCTGGTTCGGAACGTCAAGCTCGTCGTCCCGTCCAATCAGAACTTTAAAGAACCCGTTTTCCTTTTAACGAACGCGATCGTGGGGGTTCCTCGTTAGGAACACTCCAGATGCGAGAGAAAAAGAGAAAGAAARAGAGAGAGAGAGAGATTCTCTTCTCTTGCTCATCCAACAATGATTTACATATTCATGCACAGTTCCATTGACCAAATAATCTTTCTTCTGACTACTTTAAGTAAACCATTTTACGTAAGATTTTATTTTGTTTCTTTTTTGTAATCTGATTCGAAACCACTTGTACACCGTGTGTGCAATCATACTTGATCTATTATCAGTATTTTTTATTTTTGTTTAAATAGTATCTTTAAATCAATTAGTTGTTTACAGTCTACAAAATTAATAAAAACTTTGTATCAATGTTAAAAAAAAAAAGAAAAAAGAAATAAATTCGTGACTGGGCGTGTTGCATTCGAGGGTTTGGTCGTGGACACCGCATGTGGTCCTTTTTAACAGCAATGTTATTGAACTCTGAATAATATTGTGACCGATATTTGAATCGATGATGAATCATTTTTTATTGGTAGGAATATCGAGCCCCTTCCTCCATCCCCAACTTGATTCTTCTTCTTTCACGAAAGATAAAAGAAAGATATATATATATATAGAGAGAGAGAGAAGCTTACGATGGCATTGAACATTGAAGAAGAAGAAGAAGAAGTTTCCCTTTCATCGGTGTATAAAAAGTTACGCGTTCCTACTACGACGTAACACGGCACACGGCACACGGCACACGGCACACGGCACACGGCACAGGGCACACGGCACACGGCACACGTTTACGCGTAACTGTCTACCCACGCTGACGTAACGAGTTGTGGAACAACTTTGCAAGTGAAAACTTGTCTCGCCCAATAAGGAGAGCTAACAACAACTGTTGATACGAAATATACACGAAGTCTGGGTCAATGTTTCTCACTAAATGAGAAACAGATGAAACGAGTGAAATGCTCTTATAACCACCCCCTCCTTCTTCACCCCTTCAATCACTGCTTCTCTTTTTACATCCATTCCTGAGTATATTAACTCGTTAAATGTAATTTGGAAAACGTGACGTTTGAAATATTTTAATATCAACGTTTAAATTACTTTCATTACTCTTACACAGATTTCTTTTAACCATTAATGTGGTTAATCACAATAAATATGTGTGTGTGTGTGTATTATTAATATATAAAAATAAATATACAAAAATATAATATATTTAAATATATATATTTGGTTTCATATAAAAACTGTTGAATATTTTCAATCGATAGAACATATCTTCTTCGAACGTTGTTTGTCTGCAATGGACTCTTAAACTACTAAACCGATTTTAATCAAATTTTCCACACTGTGTGCAGTTTCATCCAACTTGAAAGATAGGATAGTTTATATCTTAATTTATAATCGCAATATTATATTTTATTTTTGTTATTTTGTTTCAGGTCGTTGGTGCTTTTACTATGCTTAACATTGCTACAAGTCAACGACACTTTTGCCAACTACGTGAGTACTTTATTACTTTGATTTTTTTTGAAATATGTTTGAAGGTTGCAAAGGTTCGAAGGAATACATCTTGTCCTTGACGTTAAAGGTGCAACAAGGGCTTCTTCTTCGACGAAACGCGTCTTGGCAACATTCCTCTAAAGTTTTATTGCTCGGCCGTGTTCTCTGATGTTGGCTCGAGTTTCAACCATCCCAATCCTTTACGTTCAAGATACCTAATCTTATTGCAATGTATTTTTCATGGTTCCGAATCATACGCGGCAACCTTTAAACCCTAAACTTCCAACTATCTCATCGAACTATATTTATTATAGTACATACAATAAATGTGTCAATAATGTTGACAGTGAATTGAATCGAATGATAGCAAAATTGATTTCATTACATACGATTAATCTTTTGAATATTTTAGTTGTTGATTCATTGTCATAATTATTATTGACAAAAATAAAATTTAATTTGATCAACTTTGAAAAATTACGAACGAAATGGAAGATGACAGAGAGAGAGAGAGAGAGAGAGAAATATATTTCTTGTGATACCGATAAAGAAAACAAGTTAGGTATAAATCCTATAAAGTATCTACAAGTGGCTGTCTGACTTTTAACATAAGAAATAACTTATTACAGACCAATACACGTAGAACTCGCAACACAACATCGTAGCACACACACATACACACACACAGCTTGTGTATTATGTTGCGTTAAATAAGAAGGAAAAAGGATCGTGTCATTCCATTTTTACAATCCACGCGAAATCCGTGAACCTTGACACTAACCGCTTTCACGCACGTTACAGGTGATAAACGATAGGTGTCCCCGGCAGGCGTATCGCGAAAGCTGATTATGTTGATCGTACAAATCTTCCTTGGAGTACTTTCTTTAACATTTTTTTTACAAATTAACTAAATAACAAAAACAAAAACCCCACCTTCCACCTTACCAAACAAACAAACAAACAAACAAAAATATGCTTTCGTGTGGTGTCATTTGTTTTTCTTAGAAAAAAAAAAAGTAAGATCAGATAAAACGAAATTATTTTTTCTATTTTTTTCTTTATCTAATTTCACGAGGATGATTTAGCTAAATGTCCTTTTTTTCTTCCTTTTTCTCCTTGTATAAAAAGGTTACTGGAATTCCGTCCCATTTCCGAGCTTTTTGGGGTGTAACATTAACGGGAATCGTTCCTTTTATGTCACCTCGCAAAAAATCATTTGAAACGGTTAGTAGCGGGGTTAGGGTTAAGGATGAAAAACGTTGATACGCGATTGCATCTTTTGGTTTGATGGTAAGTAGTGTGAGAGAGCAGCTGAGATATCCGAACATCAATGAGATTATTAAAGGAACGTTGGAAAGAAGAACGGGTCTCTGACTTACGATTACTTTCTTACCCTCATCAACGGGCACGGCTAATCTGAGTTAAGTGCTCGTTAAATAGAAAGAAAAGGGAGAGGGAGGAAGAATGAAGGGAAGAAATGTTGTACGATAGACGATGTTGGTGGTCTAATGTAAGAAAAATTCACCAAAATTTGTGTCAAACATTTTCATTTTTTTTTCTTTTATTTTGTGTAATTTTTCTCAACTTAGCATATAGTACTAGAAGTTTGCAATAGATGGAACTGTATTTCACGTTTTTTTTTCAAAGTTACATATTTTTTAAATCATTTAAACTGTAACATTTCACATTAAATTGTTTTTAAAACTCTCCTTCTTTTTTTTCTTTTTTTGATTTTTAATTTTGTTCAATTATATAAACGATTGGATAAATTGAGGACTTTCGAATTGATATGAAATTGGCAAAAAAGAACTAATTAAATCAATTAATCGTTCCCATATAATAACGTGATCAATAAAATAATTCGGGGAAGTATTTAAAACGGAGAAAGCGTTGACCCCTTTTTGCGCGAGCCCAATCACCATGGGAATCGATATGGTGTTAGCGGGAAGTAAAAAATAAGATAGATTAGATGCGATGTAAATCGATCTTCTTAACACGCTCACGTAAGACGATTCGTAGCGCTTTCTCGTTTAAATATTGAGCTCTTTTATAAAAGCCCTTCTTCTTCTCCTCCTTCCTCTTTTTATCCCCTCCTCTCTCTCTCTCTCTCTCTCCGCACCCTTCAATCGAACAAGTGGATCGTCGTCAACTAGCAACAACTTTGTAATATTACAAATTTTCTACAAGATTTCTCTCGCACAATTATTAATTTTCTCGCGAAATAATAATATACAATAATAATCATCATCATCATAATAATAATAATAATAATAATAAAAAGTACTGGAGAGAGAGAGAGAGAGAGGATGAGCTTTAGCTTGAGATTACGCCGATTCGATGCGGCAAACGTTTTACTACGTCCGACGGGTAATTGCTTGCGTTTCTTCGAGAAAAAGATATTTAACGTCGTGTAGCCACTTTGCGAATAAAAAAAAAAAAAAGAAAAAAAAAGAAAGATAAAGAGAGAAAGGAGAAGAAAGAAAAGGGGGTTTGGGGAGGTAAAGGGAGGGAAGGATATAATCGGCAAAAGGGAAGGGGGGGGGGGTGGAAACCTTCTTCTTGTCCACGAGAGGTCAAACTCAAAGTACGAAGGCACGAGTACTATATATGACAATTATTAAGAAGGCGTGTTTCGACGATCGTTCACGGTTCATCGACTGACCCCTTACTCGCTTCGAAACCCACTTCCTTGAACTATTTAATTATCCTTTAGAGGGGAGGGGAAGGGGAAAGGGGGAGAGGGCCTTTGGTAACCCTAACGAAAATTTCAAGCTACCATACAATTCTATTCTTCTATAGCTATCATTTCTAACCATTTAATGACACTTTACTTTTAACGTTGATTTATATCAATCTCGATTTATTTTTCATTCGTCCTTGAACTTCATTTTATCTTCTTTGTTTTCTTTTTACTTTTTACTCTTTTAGTTTGTCGATAATCGAATGATCGAATTTGTATCGCAGAATATTAATTTGTTATATGAATTTATTGAAATTGCAACTGCATTATTTGTCTTGAATTGTTTTTTTAGAGTTTGCTTCGTTTGCAAAAGAGTTAAAATCGAATACTTTGTAGAATACCAATTCTAATCCAAATGATTTCAATGAAGTCACACGATCGGAAAGCATAAATGTTCTCCGCGGATTGTTAGCGAACTGGAGGATATTGGATTATGTTTTAACTGATAACAAGTTATGTTTCCGTATCTTGCTAGTGCAGTCGCTGCAACCAACTTGCATTGCTAACACTAAGACAAAACATTTTCTGATCGTTTATGTTTTTATAAATTTATTAATAATAAAACATAAAAGATTGCAGCTAGTAATTTCTTTTTACTTGTGTTTTATCGTACAACTTGGAAAATAAACTATCAGTCAATAGATTTAAGTTTCTTTCAATATTGATATTTCCTCCGTAAAGTTCCACGTTGTTTCATTCAAAGTTAGTTTTACTGTTAAAACGTTTAACAGAGTATTGATACAAGAAGATAACTAAATGCCACGTGGGTTTGAAGATGTATGGGCAAGTTTTATGAATGAAATTTCAATGCTTTTATATTATCAGTTATTTCACCTCTATATCTTTTTTTGTTTTTTTTTTTCAAATTCAAAGTTGTGTCAAAATTTTCAAAACAATTGATAAAATACTTTTTGAAAATTAAAGGTTTTATCTTTTTTTGATTTTCATGTATTTTTGGGGGGAAAAAATGTGTAATCCGTTGGTCAGTTTGATGATCGATGACACCGAAAGATAGACGACGCATGAGGGCAAAGAGAAGTTGACATCGGTCGTCTTGCGAAGTAATTTAACGTTCGGGGGGATCGGTCACGTTAAGTCTGCTTGGTACCCAGCTGAAGAGAAATTACTCATTTTACGCCTCCGATGATGTAAACCACTCTTCGTATAAACTACTCTGCGCCTTGCTTTACGCTAGAACGAATGTGAGCTGTAATTGCTACGGTTAGTCACCGCTTAAGGATGCCATTCAATTAGGTGATTTACCGCGGACATCTAGCCTTTAATCATTGATTACTGTGAGAATTGGCGAAAGGCTTTTTAGCTAGTTTCGACCAGATCTAGGCTAAAATACTAGAAAATATTTCTCAATGACGAATGACTAAAAATACTTCTTTTTAAGACATTCTCTTTAATTCTTACTAACATATAAGAAGAAATTAATTCAATGGTTCACACTCATTTTCTTGGTTCCTTCATTGAATAGATTAATCAATAAAATATATTTCCGTAGATTTTTATTAAAAAATAAACAAACCAAATTAGAACTCTACAGAATTTATGATGAAACTTCAATTACTTACAAAGCAAGGATAAAATGTTGAAGATTACTCGATTAGATCCTAAAAAGGGAACGGAACGGAACGGAACGGAAGGCAATATCGAGAAAGGTAAAGAAGAATAATGAGAAAAAGGTAGGAGAACAAAAAAAAAAAGGATAGATAACAACAACCCAAGAACAAACCATCGTGAAAATGATAAAACACAAAGAAAAGCCTAGTGATAAAGCTTGGACAGTGTAGAATGATGTGAACAAAATCCAAAAGAAGAAAGAAGAAAAATAAGAAGAAGCCTGCCATTATCCATATTGCGTCGAGGTTGCATCGAAGAGGCTTTTGGATGCAACGTCCTCGAAGGGCCCTTTTAAAAAAGGGGGTTGGTAGAGGGATTTTAACGATGAAAGGACGGATACTTGGACGAAAAGCTCGCGTGCGTTAATCGAGCACCGTCCTTACGTGAGAAACGTGACGTACATTACGCGAATAGCAATCGTCAACTTCAAAGAACTTCTTTTTCTATCTTCTTTTTCGAGTTTACCTTTTTTACCACCATCATCATCATCTTTCTTTTTTTCTCTTCTTTCAAGAAGAAGTTTCAACGCATGTTTCCTATACGTTGAACACACATATACGAGGAGGCAGGGATAAAACGACAGATGTAAATCCCAAAGTTTTTTTCTTGTATAGATGATTTTCATTTTACCATCGTGGGAGAAAGGGAACTTCCGTGTAAGCCAGTAATAAGACAGTAAAAGTTGATATCCATCTAGTCTCTCGTTTATTTTCCAACATCTGCGTTTTGCTTGTTGATACCATGAGAGTAAGTAAGTAAGTAAGTAAGTAAGTAAGTAAGTAGGTAGTAGTAGTAGTAGTAGTAGTGGGGCTTTTGCACTCTTTATATCTCACTTGCTCACTCTCTCACTCTCTCCCACTCTCTTGTTCTATCTTTTTCTCTCGTTAGATTGCGGATTGGTGGGATGATAGTCGATGCACACGCCGCATAATGCGACGATAATGCCCACGTAAAACGATGCGGGTGAGCATAAAACATGATCTATAAGAACCAACCGACATACTACTGAGAGAAAACCTTCTACGCATGATTTTAAATCTATACACTAAACACATGGAATGTTTTTATAGTATTCTTAGATTATTATAACTTTTCTTAATAGTTTCCTTGCTTGAAAGATAATGAAACGTGAAACACGATGATGTTTAACAGAGCTTTAGTTAATTGATTAATTTATTACCAATTTGTTAGACTTTTAATCTATGAGTCATCGGTAAGAATATTAATACTATCGATGAAAAAAAAATCAAATAGTAAAACAAGATTACGCATTTGATATAATTATTATTACAAATGATTGTTAAACTAAATTTAATCTAATTTTTGATCCCATTTCTACTTGGAACAAACCTAAACACCTTGAAGTAAACATAAATCTCAAGCTAAAAATAGTAGATAAAAAAGTCGTATTAAATAGTAGATCGCGATTAGTTTTAGGTCGCGTAAGAATCGTAGTAAAAGGTCGTAGGGCCCATTCCTTGGAAAGATAGTATACACGAGAATCAGGTAGGTAAAAATAAAAGAGTAGGTTATCCAACGAAGGTGGCTTGAATAAGGGACCACTTATCGCAAAATGTTAGCCCGGCACGAAGGTTCTCACGGACAGTGTGTGCTTGGTGGTAGCCTACTCTCTCCCTCTCTCTCATTCTCTCTCTCATTCTCTTTTTCTTGAACGTATGCCGACCCCCACGCGACCCCAAGATTCCTCTCGACGTCCCGTCGAGTAGCACGAAACAAGACGTCCAGAGTGGTATAATAAATTTCACTCGGTCCTGTATGTTGTTGTTGTTGTTGTTGTTGTTGCAGCATCATATAAAATTAAGGCACGGAAGGCATCGTAGGCAACACGGGGAAAGCTATCTACCAAGTAGTTTCGTTCTTGAAACGGATGAACCAGAATGGGGAAATTGGGGACCATGGTCGATGCCCAGTTCCTGTTCACGATCCTGCGGAGGTGGTGTTGCTCATCAGATCCGACAGTGTCTAGACGTTGAGTGAGTCTTAAACCCTTCTTTCCTTCCTTCCTTCTTATCTCTTCTTATCGTATTTATTCAATTTATTACACCCTTCCTAGATAAACTATGAAAAACCTTTTATCTCACTTTCATTTAATGTCAAGGGAACAACCATTTTAATCTAATTGAAATTGGGAGATGGGGGTGTAGTCTGTGTACAATTTTTATCGTCTGGGAGAGAAATTTATTTATGTATTTTTGTTTTTTTTTTTTTTTTAGTGTATGTGTAAATGATATTAACCCTTTAGGTTCATTTGACGTATCAATACGTCATTGAAAGTGAGATTCTGCTTTATTTCAAAGTAATAAGAAATTTTTAAATAAATGTGTACCCAAATGGTTAACGTGACAGTTTAGTTAATAATATCATATTCATATTTTACATTTTATTACACATTCAGTGAAGATCCTTAAAAGATTCATTTGAAATATTTCGCTTACTTTGATGGTGTAGCTATGGAGAATATCGTAGAAAATATTTATGATCCATATAAATGTAGTATTCGATAAGGATAGGAAGTAATGACCGTGCACGAACTGTCATGAAGAAAAATAAAAAGAAATTCTCTCTCTGAACGATAATCGATAAACTGTTGCATAAATGCACTTGATCGTTTGTAAAATAAAATTGTTAAACGCAAACGTTGGTTAGAATTGATTTCAATTATTTTTCACAAGATACTCAATGTAAAAAGTTTGTTAATCCTTAGAGTACTACGGACGCATATATGTGTATATAATGTTGATATTAATAATTAATGACATTATATTAACAAAAAGAAAAACTTTAATTAAATTATTTATAATATATTTAAGAAATATTTGAGTTAAATGTATTGATCAGTCAAAGGGTTAAACATCATTGTGGAAACTTGTTGAACAGAACGTAGGAAAATCCAATGCCACTATTCGTTTTACCGAGTGCTAAATCCCTGATTAGAGATGCAAACGCTTAGGAGGAAGTAGGAACGATTAAGGATTCGAGAATAGAGAATTAAAGGTGATTACGAGATCAACTCGGTCACGTATACCAAGTCGTAGTGGAAAACGTGCATGCCGAGCATGCATGTCATCATTATCGTCGATCTTCAATTAAAAGAAATGCAATTCAATTAAAAAGATTCAAATGAGCAATTGGCAATGCCAGTAATCTGCCACTAACATCGATCAAAACCTTTTACTCGTGAACATTTCACTTCTTTACTTTCTAAATGATTTCTAAACGAAATGATGAACTGATCCAACCTCTCCGTGTGTTGAGATTATTTATTTGACAAATCGAATGATCGTAAATACTTTTACAGTTTTCTTCTTCTTCTTCTTCTTCTTCTTCTTGGTCTTCTTGGTCTTCTTTTCACTTGGTCGTAAAAAGGGATTCGTGATATCAGAACACGGCTCATTAAGCATTGACTGGGATCTGAAAACTGGGCTAACCAGAAATAACATTTTCAAAGATAAAGAAAATGTGCTTTTTGTTTTTCTTTTAATATCGTATTTTTGTTACAGCGATAACGGTTATCAAAGATGCAGAGGTTCCAGCAGGAGATTTTTTTCTTGCAACGTTCAGGTGAGTCATTGTTTAAACAACAAATGATAATGTTTCCTAATGTTTGTCTAAATCATTTTTTTATTTGGATATAATAAATGTTACTGACAAACTATACTCGAAATTGATTATTCGCGGTGTGTCACCTTTTTAAATACACTACATAATTCTTCATTGTAAAAGACTCTTGACAAATGACAAAATACTGTTCAAATAATTCTACCAAATGAGAATCAAATGCGTGCTAACAATATACTCCGTTCATAATTGAACCTTTGATCTTCCAATAGAACGATCATTGAATCAAACCACTCCGGCACGGTATTGCTAAAGTAAACTCTTGACATATATTTCTTTACTTTCTTTCTTTCTTTCAATTCGATTCCTTCATAAAACAAACAAACAAAAATACAACACTTTTTTCAACCCTCGATTATCAAACAAAATATCTTCTTTTCTTTCAAGAAATGTACGTAATGAATTTTTCATAGACAACACAGAAATAAAACATGAGAACCAATAATGTAATAAAAATAGCAAACATTCACTAGCTAACCACAATAACTCTCCCCTTTCATTCCCGTAACTCCTATCTCTTAATTTTTTATAGATAACACAAGAAAAAACAAAAGAAACCATAATTTAATAAAAAAAAAAAAAAAAATGTATTATAGCAAATGCTGGGTTAAAAGGTTGATCACATATATTACATTGAACATCATTTCAAAGTCCCTAGCTTTCCTCGCGTAATTTTTTCTCTAGCATGTTCTTTCCACCACAACTGCCAACCCTCCCCTTCACCCCCATGACTCGTACCTCGCCGTAACTCTTTTTCCATCCTTTCATCCTTCCTTCCTTCCTAGCCATCCACACCGACAAGGTTTCGTTCTCGGTCCGCAAGAAATCTCTCGCCATAAATCCTGCAGTATCCTCGTTCGTGGGTACCAGTCCCAACGGGGCTATCTTTTCTTCCTTTTCCTTAGGTTCCACTCGATTTATCGACATTACATTGCCCCACGACCCCTCTCCTCCTCCACCTCTCCTTGTCCTTCCTCAGCAGTGTCCAAGAAGACCAGTGTCTGGTCCCGATATATATCGGCCATCTAATTTCTGCAAACTGTTTCCCGAATTTTTCAACGTTTCCACTAGAAAGAACCTGTTACCCTACACTCTATGATGTAATATAATATTTGGTCAGGTTTTTGATAAGCTGGCAAATCCCTTACCAAGAATATCATCTAAAGAAAAAAGGAACCTAAATGATGAGATTGGAATTTATGGTTCAAAGAAGGATTATAGCTGAAGGAGGAGATTGATCAAAATTATTTTTTAGATGACACATACTTGGTACTCTTATTAAATACAAATATTACTTTCTACAAACCTAATTGATTTGAGTATTTTACAAAGAGTCGATTATACATATTTTGGAAGGGTGACTTTTCAGATGAGATACAAGTCCAAGAATTTTGATAAACTTCATTTATTGATTGAAGAAACCAAACTCTTTCAGACAATTTATGATTGAAACGAGAGTGTGTAAAATAATGGTAACTTAACAAAGACAAAAAAAAATATCCCCAAAAAATACGATGAAGGAATTTAATATTGTTTCCAGGCATGTCCAGGTGAACCCAAAGATTTTCGAGCCGAACAATGCGCGGAATTCAACCAAGTTCCTTTCGAAGGAGCAATTTACGAGTCAGTATTATTCATTAACATCAAAAATATACCCAGTGGTTTATGACAGTGCGTTAAAAATCAAATAAATAAAATCAATATTAATTTGATAATTTATTTTAAATGACAAAATAAATGTTGTCAATTTTGTTGAAATTAGTGAACGTTTGATTTGGTTTATAGTTGGATCCCGTATACGGGAAGTCCTCACAAATGCGAATTAAATTGTATGCCACGTGGTGAAAGATTTTTTTATCGATACAAAGTGGCCGTGATCGATGGTACACCATGCGAGATCGAGAAAAACGACGTTTGCGTCGAAGGCAAATGCATGGTAAGTTAACTTGAACTTCTTTCTATGAATGTGTGAATTTCTTTTTCTATTATTCAATTTACGTTTGAAAGATGATATTACTCAAAGATAAGCATTAAGCGTTTAAACATCGCGTTTGATTTTTTTTCTTCATTATTATTATTATTATTATTATTATCAGCCGGTCGGATGCGATATGATGTTAGGCAGTAATGCAAAAGAAGACGCTTGCAGAGAATGCGGAGGTAACGGAACGGATTGTAACACGATTCAAGGATTATTTGACACCGACGATTTACAAGTTGGTACGTTAATGTATTTTATTATATTAAATTTTGATAATAATTCGATGTAGAATATACTAATAGTTTTCACATAAAACATGCATACATAAATACACGCTGATTTTCATTTCAGGTTATATCGATATTTTATTAATTCCGGAAGGTGCAACAAATATCGTAATAAGAGAATTGGAACCTTCTAATAATTATATAGGTAATAATATTTAATATTTAATTATTCTTAAAACTTACTTCACATTTTTTTATTCTAATAAGATTCAATTCTGCGTGTAAATATTCATTTTCATATAATTTACATTGACCAGTGAATCTGTTTTAATATTTATAATTAAATAATCAAATTTTTCCAATGATTTGATTGATTATTTTGTTAAGCCATAAGAAATACATCCGGTCATTATTATTTGAACGGCAATTGGAGGATCGATTTTCCACGTAGTCTGAGATTCATCGGCACGATATTTCATTATTCGAGAGAACCACAGGGTTTTTCAGCACCGGACATTATCACCGCACAAGGTCCAACCACAGAGCCGATTTACGTTGTCGTAAGTATCCTATCAATTATTTACTTTTACCATAGGAAACAATCTAATACGAGTTTATCTTACAGTTGCTCTACCAAGATCATAACGTTGGTGTCCATTATGAATACAGTATACCCAAGAAACTTTCAACGCATGCTGATGCTGATAGTTACACGTGGATTAATGAAGAATTTTCAAGTTGCAGCACCACTTGTGGAGGAGGTAAAGACAAAAATCTTAAGAGTGCAATTAAAAGAAATTCAACAAAGACCCCGATTAAAAAATAAACAATTGAATGGGTCTCTTAAAAAAGGGCACCTTTAAACTTGATCAAACTGAAATAAAATATTGAAATGTTAAATACAGGCTACCAGTCAAGACGAGTAGCGTGTGTTAGAAGACGAGACAGCCAGCCAGTAGATGACAGTTTGTGCAATCCACAGCTCGAACCAGCGGATACGCAAACCTGTAACGAGGAGCCCTGTCCTGCAGAATGGGTGGAGGGTGAATGGGGAGAATGTAGTAAACATTGCGGCGATAGTGGTGTACAGAGTAGAGAGATCAAATGCGAACAGGTTGTAGCTGGTGGAATACGTTCGATTATCGATGATTCTCAATGTATAGAAAATATTGGACCTAAGGGACCAACCACACAGGAATGCAACAGAAACGTCGACTGTCCACAGTGGCATCTTGGACCATGGAAACCGGTAATATTTTTATTCTTCATAATATTTATTATTATATCGAGAACGTCATTCTGTGTTATCAGAAAACCACTTTCCTTTGGGATAAAACTAATGTTGATTTTATTATTGGTACTGATCTATGATCAAATTAATTTCATTCGATTGAACTAAATCACTTAAGGAGTCTTCTAATTATTTATTTAGTGCGACCATCTATGTGGGAAAGGTAAACAGACTAGAAAGATAACATGTTATATCAAAAGGAACGGAAAAATCGATGTATTGGATGACAACGCTTGCGAGGGTGAAATCCCCGAACGAGAGAAAACTTGTGAGTTGAGACCCTGCGAGGGACTCGACTGGGTTGTTTCCGATTGGAGTGGGGTAAATACTACAACTATTAACAACATCAATCATTGTTATTTTATTTGGATTTTCTTGTCGATATTCTTTTATCGTCATATGAATTATAGTGCAACGAAAAATGTGGTCTAACTAATGAAACGAGAACTGCTCATTGTGCTACTCAAGATGGCAAAGTGCATCCTGACGACAAATGTGATGCCAATAAGAAACCAGAATTGATTCGAGAATGTGAAGATGCTGAAGATTGCGAATACCAATGGTACACTTCACAATGGAGCGAGGTAAGTAATTCATTAAATTACGATTTATGACCAAATTCAAACAGAATTGTCAACATTTTAATGATGATCCTAGTGTTCGGCAAAATGTGGCACCGGGTTGCAAACTCGAAAAGTATTTTGCGCCACTCCTGTCAAAGATACTTTGAAAAAAGTACCAGATTCTAAATGCGATTCTGAGAACAAATACGAGAGCACGCAAAATTGTACAGCTAAACAAGAAAAGTGCGAAGGCGAATGGTTTGTCGGTCCATGGGGCGAGGTATTATTGATTAAATGAAAACGAACATTTTTATTGGGTTACAAAAATCCAATTTCTGATAAATTCATTGTTACATTTAGTGTTCAAAACCATGCGGAGGTGGTGAAATGTCACGTAAAGTAGTTTGCATCATGGACAATCAAGTAACTTTGCCCAACAATTGTAACATGGATACGATCAAGTTTATGATAGAAACTTGTAATAAACATCCTTGCAGTGAAGGTAAAGTGAAACTGATTCAAATTTAGTTTTTCTTTCTATATTGTAATTTATATTTCTATTGTTTTAACGATACTAGACGAAGTTATACCAGTTGAGCCGGAAAAAAGTAAAGCCCTGATGGAACAGGATGACGAGGAATGCGAAGAATACGAGGACGAAGACTTCATTACGATCAGCTCTGATTTAGGAGTGAGAGTAAGTGAAACTGATGATCGTAATACTAGAAGTCAAAAATAAAGAATTAGAAGATCAAACTCATCAAAGTAGCTCATTATTTATGATAGGACACCAAGTCTGAAATCAAAGTAAGCGAAGGTTCAACGAGTGTCAAGTTCACGTCATATACAAGCGGAGATACCGTCAGTGGTGACATGGATGAAATGATGTTCAGTGATGCTGGATGGAATAGAGGTGACATCTCACCGGGAGACTTTGGCAGCGGTTACACGAGCAGTGGTTTTGGCAGTGGGGATGACGACTTTTTAAGTACACTGTTTACCAGCAATCCCACTTCTGAAGATTGGTCAACGATGGAGGGAAGTGGTACTTCTCCTGATACCGAATCAGTGATGACTGAAACTAGCGAGACTGGAGCCACCACTGAATTTGACTTAACTAAAAGCACAGAATCAGAAAGCTCTACAGAATCTGGGGCTACGCAAGTATCGGAGTCTACTACTACCGAGTTACCAATCACTGAAGTATCGGAGAAGGAAGCTTCCGAAATAACGGGTGAGCTAAATGTCTTGTCAAATGATATACTTTCTACGATTAAACGATTATTAAGTCAAATTGTACTTTAATATTCATCTTAGAAACTTCATCGGATTTAGCAATGACTACTGAATCTGGTACTACTATTGAATCAGTTACGTCGTCCGATTTAACAACTGAATTCAGTGAATCTACTATATCGTCAGAAAGTACTAAAGAAGAATCGGCATCAACTGATAGTACCGTTTCTTCCGAAGTAACTACGACAGATCTTTCAACAGACAAATCAACAGATTTCACTGAATCTACTGATCATCTCACTTCGAGTATCGATACGATTACGTCAATGGATGTTACAACGTCATTGTCAACAGATCTTACGGAATCTAGCGAATCTAGTGCTACAGATAGTACAGGGTCTACCATGACTGAATTTACAGACTCTACTGTAACAGAAATGACAGAAAGTACAGGTTCTACCGAATCTAGTGAATCTACTGAATCTACGGTAACTGATACAACAAGTTCAACAGAATCGACAGAATCTACGACAGATTTGTCAGAATCTACGACAGATTTGTCAGAATCAACGACAGATTTGTCAGAATCTACGACGGAATCTAGCGTGTCAGAATCTGCTCTTACTGAAGAAACATCGACAGAAGTCAGCAAAGAAAGTAGTTCAATTTCTGAACTCACTTCTGAATTACCTGGTAGATAAATATTTTAAAAGTAATTATTTGAAGAAGTGTATTATAAAAATGACTGATTATCCAATGTTTGCAGGCTCTACAACCGAAACATTGATTACTGAATCGATAGTAACCGAAGTGGATACTAAAATGACACAGAAATACGACAGCAGTACGGAAAGCACAGAAAGTGCGACAACCGTATCTGGTACAAGTGAAGCTTCAATGTCAACTGAAACTGGTATTACAACCGAATCTGAATCTTCAGAGTCGACCACATTCCAAGGAACGAGCGAATCTGGTTTTACTACAGAAACCGAACAGAGTACTGTAGAAAGTGCAGAAACAACGGAATCAGGTGCTTCCACTGAATCAGGTGCTACAACGGAATCAGGTGCTACAACTGAATCAGGTGCTTCCACTGAATCAGGTGCTACAACTGAATCAGATGCTACAACTGAATCAGGTGCTACAACTGAATCAGGTGCTACAACTGAATCAGNTGCTACAACTGAATCAGGTGCTACAACTGAATCAGATGCTACAACTGAATCAGGTGCTACAACTGAGTCAGGAATGTCGACAGTTTCTTCAGAAACGACGGAATCCGCAATGACTAGCATATCAGAATTAACAACTGAATCTGAAGGAACTAGTGAAATTGCATCAACCAGTGAAACTGCAATCTCTGGTTTAACCACATCATCTGAATTAGAGTCAACAGAGTCAACAGAGTCAACAGAGTCAACTGAGAAAACGCACAGTAAGTTTATTCAAAAACTTGTTTAAAACAATCAACATAACATGATTTATTTTCAGTTTCCGAGTTTTGGACGACAGTCGGTTCCGTGGAGACTACGCGTAAATTAAGAAAATGCAAAGTTTACAAAAAGAAGACATGTAAGGCTTCTAAATTTGGCTGTTGCTTTGATGGAATCACAGCAGCTAAAGGTCCATTCGACAGTGGTTGTCCAACACCTAAAACTTGCAACGAAACCAAATTTGGTTGTTGTCCCGATGATGTTTCTGCAGCTAGTGGACCGAATAACGAAGGTTGTCCTGACACTCATTGCAACGAGTCACTCTTTGGATGTTGTCCTGATGGAATTAACGCTGCCGAGGGTAACGATTACGAGGGATGCAAGAAACCATGCAACGAGACAGAGTAAGTAGATTAAATAAATCCAATTGTGACAAATATTAACATTCTACTATATGTTTGCCAATCTTCATAGATTTGGATGTTGTCCTGACAACGAGACACCAGCAGTTGGTAAAAATAATTTGGGTTGTTGCAACGTAACTACTTATGGTTGTTGTGCTGACGGAATTAAAGCAGCTACCGGACCGGATCTAGAAGGATGCGAGGAAGTAGAAGAAGAAGTCACTTCAGAAATGACAACAGTCACGAAAGAATACGAAGAGACTACAACTATAACGGTTGAAGAAGACTGTGCCAATATGACTTATGGCTGTTGTCCTGATGGCGTCAGACCTGCCTCGGGAATAAACTTCGAAGGTTGTGGTGTCATCAATGAAGATAATTGCACAGCTTCTTACTTCGGTTGTTGTCCCGATCAAGTTTCACCAGGTAAAAAACGAATAACAAAACTTGTATGTATTTGATTTCATTTCAAATAAATTTGACTTTCTTAGCACTCGGTTCAAACAATTATGGCTGTCGCATGCCGTGCGAGAATTCGACTTATGGTTGTTGTCAAGACGGTGCAACCCCAGCACATGGACCAAATGGAGAAGGCTGTTGTTTGACAACACCTTACGGATGTTGTCCAGACAACATATTACCAGCACGAGGACCAGACCTTTACGGATGTGGCTGCCAATATTCAAGATTTAGATGTTGTCCTGATAACTCAACGGCAGCACGTGGACCTAACAACGAAGGTTGTGGTTGTAAGTACACCCCTCATGGATGTTGTCCTAATCGATTCACCCCAGCAACTGGGCCAAATTACGAAGGATGTCCATGTTACACATATCAATTTGGATGTTGTCCTGATGGTATTACCATTGCTAAGGGACCACATGGTCAAGGTAATTGTATTGCAATTGTTCAATCATTGACATAACCCCAAAATTTACTTTGTTTAATATTATTACACTATTTGTGTAGGTTGTGGATGCGCAAACACAGAATTCAAATGTTGTTCCGATGGTAGAACACCAGCAAAGGGACCTAATTTCGCTGGTTGTGCTTGCGATTCTTCCAAATATGGTTGTTGTCCAGATGGTATTGAAGAAGCTCAAGGAGAAAACTTCGAAGGTTGTCTCACTGTACCTTCGACACCTGGTGCTGCTTGCTCTTTGGGAAGAGACAGGGGACCTTGCCGAGATTTTACAGTTAAATGGTTCTTCGATACCGAATATGGTGGTTGTTCCAGATTTTGGTATGGTGGGTGCGAGGGTAATGACAATCGTTTCAAAACTCAAGAGGAATGTAAAGCAGTGTGCGTGGAACCCAAAGGACGAGGTACAAATATTTTTACAACAATTTTATCTTACAACTTTATCCTGTTATACATCCCCCTATTCTAAATTTTGATTACAGATGCTTGCTTCCTACCGAAAATCAATGGACCATGCGAAAGTTATTACCCAACGTGGTATTACGATCCTGGTAGAAAACAATGTGGTCAATTTATTTATGGTGGTTGTCTTGGTAACGCGAATAAATTCAAAACGAAGGAAGAATGTGAAGAACTTTGTGTCATTCCCGATGATATTGGTATGTTAAACAAAAACAATTGTTTGTTATTTATTTTTTAAACACGAGGACAAAGATTATGAGTACAGATCGTAAAATGAATAATTCAATATTTGATTTTGATCTTTAGATCCCTGTGATCAGACAAAGGAACCAGGTCCCTGTGCTGGTAATTTCACTAGATGGTATTACAACAAGTCTGCTCAAACTTGTGAACAATTTAATTACGGTGGTTGCAAGGGAAATAACAACAACTTCCCAACGGAGCTCGCGTGTCACCAACAATGTTTGCAACCTGGTCGAAGTCGCGGTAAGTTTTGATAACAAAATTGATCAACCTGTGATGATATCTACGATGATATTAACTTTTGCATTTATTAGAGTCACGAATGTCTTCAGGTTTTATTTTAGTCATTTAATAATAATATTTTTTTCGGGTCTAACACGATAATTTTATGGTGTAGAAAGTAGTCGAAAAAAAAAACACTTAACTTATCAAAAACACAGGGATATCCAAGGGTTTCGTTGAATTTTTTTTTTTTTTTAAACAAATTACTAGATAGAAATTAACTTTTGCGAATAGGTGAACACGCGTATGAAAAGCTTTTAGGGAAGCTTTATTTTTTCATTAACCGTTAACAAAACGAAAAATAATCAAAGGTGGGTAAAAAAAAAGAAGGTTCGGATATTAAATAAAAATAATATTATATGAAATATAAAATTAGAATTTGGTTAATGAGAACAATTCAATTAACTTTGGGGGGGGGTAGGGGGATTTAATTCGGAATAAATCGTCTTGCAGTAATCAATCAATTTTCCAGCACCTCTCGCGGATGTGTGCTCCTTCGAGAAAGATCCTGGGCCATGTCCAGGCTCTGTATTACGTTGGTATTACGATTCAACTCGTCGTACTTGTAGTCGATTTGTTTATGGCGGTTGTAAGGGCAACGCCAATAAATTCCGTACTCGGGCTGCCTGCGAGCAGCGTTGTCCTTCACAAGGTACTCACAAAAAGAAAGAAAAAAAAAAAAAAAAAAAAAAAAAATCCCCCAAAAAAAAGAGAATAAAATGAACGCACAAAAAAAAAATAAATTAAAAAGCAAGCTTATCGCTTTAACGTGAATCATAGCAATTGCAATTTCGTTGTCGTAATCACAAGGTGTTGGCAATTGATTCGTAATCAAATAGCATTTTCTAATTTCTAGTTTTCATTCTCGCAATCATATTCGTATACACCGTCGTATATTCATTTTCATTCATGGTGTTGGTGTTTAAGGATTACTTTTTTTCTCAAACTGTGATACTCAAATGAACCTTACACACGTAATCAAATTTTTAATACGAAACATGAAAACATATTTATCGTACTAATTCACACTGTTGAAATGATAGCACGCATTTGAATAATTTTGATAATCGATTGATTATGGGTATTGTAGTTGTATACTAACACACTTTCAAAGTAAAATCAATGAAATGTATGTATGTGTAAAAGATACTAACTTTGTTTTGCATGACGTTACGAATGAACAATTTAACAGATTCTTGCACTCTCCCACGGGATGAGGGTAATTGCACGGAAAAGCAGTCCAAATGGTATTTCGATCAATCGGAAAATCGATGCATGCCATTTTATTACACGGGATGTGGTGGAAATAAAAATAATTTTCCTACTATTGACGCATGTACCGCCGATTGTCCACCGAAAATCGGTAAGATTTTTCATACTTTTTTTGTTGTTGTTTCATCTTCCCTTTCATATCTTTCGCTTTTACTTTCTTCATCACACCACTTTCTTCCAGCATTGTTATTTGTTATAATAAAAAAAAAAAAGAACGGAAGACAATTCTGCTTTTTGCACAAAACTGATCAATTAAACAACTTTTTTTTTCTATGTAATAATTAGAAAGCAACATAAACCTAATATCGATTATTATTATTATTGATATCTATAGAACAGGATATCTGTCTTCTACCTGCACTTTTGGGTGAATGCCATAATTATACTCAAAGATGGTACTTCGATTCTTACGAACAACAATGTAGACAATTTTATTATGGTGGTTGTGGTGGAAATCAAAATAATTTTGTATCTCAATACGATTGTAAAAATCGTTGTGAAATTGCTGTCACTGCTGAACCACCTAAACCGGTCGAATTTAAAACAGGTAATTGAACGAACAAATTAAATGAATAAATTATAACAAATAATTTCTAACATTTTATTATAAATAATTGTAGAATATTGTTACTTGCCAAACTTCCATGGCCCTTGTAACGAAGATCAAATGAAATGGTTCTACGACAGCAGGGATGGTATTTGTAAAACGTTTGCTTATGGTGGTTGTCAAAGCAATGGAAATAACTTTAACACTCATGAAGAATGCGAGTATCGTTGCGGACAAGTTCAAGGTACGTTTCATTATGAAAAAAGGGCTACCAAAAATGTTCTAAACGACACGCAAAGTGAAAAGGGGTTAAAGTTGAACGCGTAATTTGAGGGGTGGAAGAGAAACGGCAAATTATTGATTGGCCAACATTTGAGAAAGGGAGGGGTTCGGTGACAAAGCCCCTTTTTTAAATAATCAAAAAGATGAAATCTACGGTGAATAAATAAATGTTTTCAGACCCATGCACGTTACCAAAAGTGGTTGGTACCTGTGACGGTTTCGTCAAACAATATTATTACGATCATCAAAGTGACATTTGTGAGGAATTTGAATACAGTGGTTGTCTCGGCAACAAGAATCGTTTCCAGGATCGAGAATCCTGTGAGAGACAATGTAGAAGACGACGACCAGAAATAGTTGCAGAAATTCAAACAACTACCATGACAACTACTATTCAAACGGAGATCGTGTCGAGCAGTCCAATTTGCTTAGCACCTGTGGATGCTGGACCATGTAACAATGACATTACTGCTTATTATTATGATTCTCAAACTAGCATGTGTCAAGCATTTATATATGGTGGATGTGAAGGAAATGCTAATAGATTCCAAACTGAGGAACAATGCGAACGTCTATGTGGCAAATTCCGTGGACAAGGTAATACAATTATTCTATCTACAATATTTCATTTAATATTATTTAACTTTAAATAATAACAACAACAAATATACAAATTTATCTTTTTCACTTTAAACTTTCCAATGAATTTTTTTACAAATAATTTTTATATTCTGTGTTTATAGAATTTCCGTGTCAGTCACTTATGACTGACGTATAATTACATTTTCGTATAATAATCATTTTTTTTTTGTTTTCTAATATTTCAGATTTATGTAATTTATCAGCTGACCCAGGTCCCTGTAGAGCAAATTTCGTCAAATACTTTTACGATCCAAATATTCGTTCATGTCGACAATTTTATTATGGTGGATGCGATGGTAACGCAAACAGATTTAGTTCATTGATGGAATGTGAATCACTTTGCATTCATCGTGAAGAACTTGAACCTGTTGGAAATGACACCATTCTTTCTCATTCAGGTAAACAAATCTGATTAAAATATATTACTTGTTTTTTTTTTTTTTTTTTAGCCTTCTTAGGTTTTTCTACCTTTGACAATCAAATAATAATGTTGAATCTTTGTTGTTGATTATTTATTGAAATATCTAATGTTACGAATAGCCATCTGTAAAGAACCGGTTGACAGTGGATCGTGCAATACCGGTCAATTGAGACGATTTTTTTTCGACGTGGAATATCAAACCTGTCGTGCATTTATTTATACCGGATGCGGTGGTAACCGCAACAGATTTAAAACCTTCGAGTCTTGCATTAACACTTGTCTTAGGAGTAAGTCCGTGACATTCATTAACGTCAACTGCTTTTTTTAATCATTATTATTATTTTATCTTGTTCATTTATTTTATACACATTTTATCTTTTCAAAAACAAATCATTCATCATTTCGTACCAATATTTCATTTTTAAATATTTCTGTAAATGTTTTCATTTATGTAAATAATTCACATATATACTCGCTATGTGTATATATATTTTTAATTATTATTATTAATAATTATATTTGCAATTTTTCTTTTCTCCTACAGATCCTCCAAAACGAAGCAAACAAATTTTTCTTATTTTCATAATTATTACGCTAATATTTGGTTTTTTTATTGAAATATATGTCCGAAAAGTTTGTGCCGATTTTGACGGAACCTTCTTCCAAAACTTGTCAGGTTTTTCAATAAACCACCTAGTGAAAAAATCGGCACGATTTTTCTAATACAATAGCTGTAAATAAATTTGCCAATTTTGATTAATTTCTTACTTTAGTAAAAAAAAAAACTACGTAAGAAGGGAAGAACATTGATGAAAAATATTTGTCTTACAGCCGATAACGTAATCGATACTTATTCTGGAAAAGATAAGAAAGATCGGTGTATCGAGGCACAAGAGGAATGCAATTTGATTCGTTGTCCTTACGGTAAAGAAGCATACGTGGATGATCAGGATTGTGAAAGATGTCGTTGCGTTGATCCATGCCGAACACAATTTTGTCCTGAAGGAACTAAATGTTCAATTAGTTTGGTTCGTACCCAAGATGTGACAGAATATAAGGGTGTTTGCAGATCAAGTAAGAAATACTCTTCATCAAAAATAATAAACGATGAATAATTTTTTATTAACATAATCATGTTCCTTTGTTTATTAAAAGCAATCAAATCTGGACGTTGTCCAAGTGTATCGAACAGTACGAGATGCGAACGAGAATGTGAAACCGATGCCGATTGTAACGGTGAATGGAAATGTTGTGACAACGGTTGTGGCACGTCTTGTTTGGAACCAGCTTTAGAACAACCAATATCAACATTATCACCATATATAACAACACCTGTAACACCTCAGTATGGTAAAGAACCTGTCAAAATAGAACAACCCGAACAACCACGTGTAACTGCCGAAGAAGGTGGTCACATTTCCTTGAAATGTGTTGCATTAGGTAATCCAACACCTACCATAACTTGGAGAAAAGATACGACACTCGTAAGTTATCCAACATTTTCTTGATCTAACCATGAAATCAAAATGTCATAATATAGAAAGAACATGATTTTGGTTACTAGATTGGTATTACGGAAAAAAGACGACGTATATTGTCAGATGGTACTCTTCAAATTACCAATTTGTATACAATCGATAGAGGAACTTATGTTTGTACAGCTGATAATACTGTAGGTCCACCTGTTAGAATACAATATCAAGTTGAAATCACAGGTAAGTGAAAAAAACTCATACAAAATCATTTGTAGTATGTCAATGATTGATGATAAGGGTTGGTTTGAAAAACTACTAATTTAGTATGCACACTCTAACGCAATCTTTGGTAATGGGTAGATTTTCTAATTAACATTAATTACTAAATGAACCCTCTGCATTTGACATTTGACAATTTGACTGGGTTTAATTAAATTTAACATTAGGATTGTGCAAAGGGTTATTAAAACATTGATATTTTGATTGAAGTATGATGCACGCTTGTTTAATTGCACATCGTAGAACCTCACGAACGTCCTGCTGCCATCGTTGGAGAAAATAATGCAACAGTGACAGTGTCATTGAATTCACCATCCCTACTTCATTGTTACGCTATGGGTTGGCCAAGACCATCTGTCACCTGGTGGTATGGCAATAACATGCTTCCACTCAGTTCGGAGAATTATGAACAAGACACTGATTATACTCTTCTAATTCGTTCGGTGTCCGTCTATAATCTTGGTGTTTACACCTGTCAAGCTTACAACGGCATTAACAGACCTGCTTCTTGGTCTGTCACTGTTCAAACTACTGGTCCAATTTACAATATTAAACCTGAATATGCCAATTATACCAAATACATTGTCCAATCACCCAAAAAATTAGTCACCGAAAGACCACAATATCCTTACAGACCAACCAGAACACATCAACCTGATTCTTTCACTTTCCTACCTGTTTATCATCCCACTAGACATGACGTAACTATTATCGAAACTACTACAACCACAATGTCACCTGTCATTTCTAAATTTAAAGGTGAGATTTTCCTTCGTCTCTCCGAAATTTATTTTGCATTTTTATTTCTTCGTTTGCTTTCTCGCAATACTTTTTTTTTTTCTTGCATTTTATAACCATGCATGTTTAATGTGTTAACCTGCTTTATTATTATTATTGCAATTTAGAACAAATTGACTTTTCTTATGGAAGATCATGCGGATGAAAGTGAAACGAAGGTAGGCTTTGTTTACTTTTGTTTTTTTTTTATTCCACGCATCGCTCTAGTTTTTTTTTCTTTTTTTGAAATTTCAATTTTATTGTATTATAAGAATTTCGAATGATGTCATTTTTGGATTGTACTAATATTATCATTTTGTTTCGATACAGTACCGGTGAACGTCAGCGTTTCGGTAGCTCAAACACAATTTCCTGTAGGTAGTAACATCAGTATTGGTTGTAACGTTGACGGCTATCCAATTCCACGAGTACTTTGGTACAAAAATGATAGTCTCATACAAACTAACAATCGAATTAAAATATCTGGTAAGTATCTGTTCATAAATAAACATTTATATTATTTATACGAATACACACACGTTGAACGCGAAAAGTGAAATTTCAATTGGCACAAAGTTTACTTGCAATCCAATTTAATTTGAAATCATTTCAAGTTTCCCTTTTAGTCGGTTCTTACGACAAGCAGGGATTACTGAGGGGGTATTCTTCCCCGCCTCCCTCACGGGGATTATTTTAATATATATAAATTATGTATTGGACTGATTGTAAGCCACAGCAACACGTGGCGGGGCACTCCTAGTATAATTATACTTTAAATATAATAATAATAAAATATAAATAAATAAAGGACTAGTGCGTTCAACGTGTTGAACAGGAAAAATGACATTACTAACATTAAAAAAAAAAAAAAAAATTATTTAAATTTGTAGAATCAAACAGACTTTTAATCATCGACGCGAATAAAGAGGACTCGGGACGTTATCGATGCGAAGCAACGAACGAATACACTTCTGATTCTGATAGCGTAGATATAATCGTAGATGGTAAGAAAAATATACAAAAATGTAAATGAAAAAAAAACAAAAAAGCAAACAAATTCTATTTGTTTGATTTTGTTTTAGGCATATTTATAGACCCGAATTGTCAAGACAACAGTTTCTTCGCAAAATGTGATTTAATCGTAATGGCACGTTATTGCCAACACAAGTATTATGCCAGATTTTGTTGTCGATCTTGCACGGAGGATGGACAATTACCGTCAAGAGGACCACACCTAAATGATTCGAGAAGAAAAAGAATGATATATTAAACAACAACAACAACAACAACAACAATAAACAACAAATAAATCGACTCTCGTTACGACTCAAATTAAAATAATCCATTATTCATTCGTGATTTAATATATGATGGACGAAGATCGTAATAATATATTTCTTGATATAAATAATGATCATATGATTGAAATCATAACAAGGATGAAATATAATTGAAAATAATCATACGAAGCATCACTTGCATCGTAAAGCTGTGCAAATCGGCATTAATTTCACTGCCAAAGCCTTAGAACGAACACGTCTCTACCACACAAATGCATCATTAAAAATGCACATATATATATATATATATATAAAAAAAAAACGGGATTATTAAAATAACTTTGAAAAAATAGAAAGAAGAAGATTAAATGTGTACTCAAGAAAAAATAATCGTTCATCCCGATCTTACTCGTCCATCATTCTCCATCATTAATTTCAATTCTTTCACTTTCTATTTCTACTTCTATTTCTATTTCTATATATATTTTATTTTCTTTATTTCTTACTTTATCTAACTTTCTCTCATCCATGTATATACAGTCTGACGCTGAATACTAGTCCGACAGAGTCCGAAAGTAAGCGGATTTGATTCTTCGAATTTTCAAATAAAAATAAACAAGAAAATAAACAAGAAAAAGGCATTCGATGACATTTATTAATATATGTACGTCATAGCGATTTAATTTTCAACTGTAAAACATTAGATTTTGTTAAACACACAATATTCATAGATTATATTATTTGAAAATAACGCGGCAACATATCCACGCGAATTCGTCAAACTTATACGAAATAATACAAATATTATTTTAATATTATTCATTAAGTACATATTAGTAATATCAAAAATTTAAATTGTCTCGCTAGACGTACGTTGTGACGGAAAAAAAGAAAAAAAAAACAAAAGTGAAAAATGTGAAAGATAAATAAAAAAAAAAATAAAAAAAAACAAATGGTCGAGGAATGAACGTTAAAAGATAATAAAAAAAAAAAAACAAAACCTCGACAAAATATTGTCATACGAAGTCAAGAAAAAATTCTTGTAGGAAACCTAGTTTGTATGATGCATATTACTACGAGCGTTATGTTGTACAATATAAAATAATAATAATAATAGTTGATTATACAATATATCGTTTATATAATCTATTATATTGTTATTACTTTATTTTTAACGATTAACATTCAAATGTTGCCATAACGTTGACCTGTCAGAAGAAAAAAAAAAAGGAAAGGAAAGGAAAGCAAAGATGCAACATTTTTTGTTTATTTAACACGTTGATTGTCACGTGGATTATTCAACACTTGTTTTGTCAATCAAAACCACGTAGGTTGTATTACCATATTGTTTTCTATTTAATTTTACAATTCACACGATTGAAATTTTGATAATTGAGTTGCAATCAACGAGTTAATTACTTGGAACAAAAATAAACATTTGTTTATTAGTTGAAATAATTCAACAATATGTATGTTGCATCTTTGCTGAATATGTGTGCGTGTAGTATCTTTTAAGCAATCATTATAATTCAATCAAACAATCCATTCAATCAAACAATTAATCAATTAATTAATTAATTAATAACAAATGTGTCTCGTAGTCGAGACCAAATATTGCATTTATGTTTGTTGTTCCTCTTGACAATGATTTTTAATTAGAACAAATAATCGATGTCATTTTCATTGAATTAATATCACATCCAAATATTAATAATAATACTTTAAGATAATATCGATACCAACCAACCATAACATTTTGATATATGTGAATGAAAAAATTGAACAACTTAATCGATGACGTTACACACGTACGATAGAACATTTAAGATTATTATTATTATTATTATTATTAATATTAATATTATTATTATTATTACTCATTTTTACGTAGCTTTGGTTACAGTCGAATAAGAGTGCCTTATTAGATGTCCTTAAATGAAATAATAAAAAAAAAAAAACGTAAAAAAAAAAACCGTTCAAAAAAGAATGAAAAATTTTACCAAAAAAGAAAAATTTACAAAAATAAGAAAGAAAAAAAAGAATAAATAAATAAATAAATAAAAGAAATGAGAAAATATTCAGGAATGATTAATTAATTAGGGATATAATATAATTTATAATATTGTTAGTGTAAATATATATTATGGTGGTATGTTGCAGCGAGAACAAGAAAAGAACAAACAAACAAAAACAAAAACAAAAGAAAACAAAGAAATCGTAGTGGATGAGATTGATTTTACGATATATTAAAAAATGAAACGGAAATATAAACAATTAAAAAAAGATAAATTAATGAAATGAACGTTTTATCATTCACTTCATATCATTGTAGAGACACGACCAAAACGAGTACGCGTATTTCAAACGATTTGCAGTGTTGAACCAAAATTTAACATTGTTGACAAATTTTTCTTATAGATATAAATATATATATATAATATATTTAAAGAATAAAAAAAAAAAAAGAAAGAAATTAGTCGAAGATAGAAAGAGACACGTAATCAATTAAAAAAAAACAGAACTAGCTGTTGATGAGAAAATAAAAGAAAAGAAAAGAAAAAAAAATCATACAAAGATAAAACGTTGATAAATAAAACTAATGTGAAATAATAAAATAGTAAGAACGCACATATACACACACACATATATATATATACATCGCGTTCATACTCGTATATATTAGTTTTACGTTTAAACGTAAGTAATTTATGAGATAAATAATCTTATCATCGTGTGAGTTTTATCTTCAATCTCGCGTGTTTTCAAAATTGCATATTATATTATAAACATACACACACATCTACAAACGAATACACGTACGAGAAGATTCTTTTAACCCTTTCACAAGCTAGCATGATTCACATTAAAAACAAAAATTAATGCAAGTTATATTTGTCGTCCCATTTAATGTTTCACATGTTTCAATACATCAAATCGTTTTCAATCGTATAGAAAATTCGTTTTATATGAAGGTAGTAAAAGTTTAAAAAAAAAAAAATATCCACTATAATGGCATGCACTATTATTCATTTATTATTATAAGTCGTGAAATGGTTATAAAAAAAAAAATAAATAAAATAGAATTGTTAAGTATAAATGTATATACATATAAGTAACATTATTAACACACTCGTATCATCAATCTTTTTCTATACGTAGATCTTTGACAAACATAGATACTCCTATGTTTATTATTAAATCCGAAGGGAATGATCGTGATGTTGTTAATGCATGTTAATGCGTATTATTCAATTTTAAATTAGAAAAAAAAAACAAAAAAATGGAGAGAAAAAGAGATAGAGAGAGAGAGAGAGAGAGAGAAGGATAAATAAAGTTATTAATGATTATAAGAAATAATGTGGAACATTCCTCGCATTTATATTAACCATAAGACGAATTAATCTAGCAATTCGACAAATCATTATTATTATTATTATAATTATTATTAATTATTATCATCATCACTATCGCATTAATGAATAAACAATGCGAGCATACACAATTTGTATGTATGTTTTAATTATTAATGAAATAATTCAATGTCATTCGGATATATAAATAAAAAATATTTCATTGTTTATCTATTCTAATTGAAAATAAAATTAACGATTAATATTATCCTTTTATATATATATATGTACAACGTAATCCTAAGACATCAGTGATAAACAAAATAAAAGAAAAATTCATGAAAATCCCATCACGATCGACGCTACGGATTTTAATAAAAAAAAGAAAAAAAGAAAAAAAGAAAAAAAGAAAAAATAATAATAAAAGCGTATATCACCGATAGAATTTTGCCAAAAATTAAATTTATCATTAAACGTATTTAATTAAATAACTCGGAATACTATTGTCACGTGTAAACGATCCTTCAATTATACATTACGATTATAAAATGGAAAACTAATCTTAGGTCGATGATTTAATATTCTACGATTTTAAAGAAGAATACAAAATAATAAAATAATAAATAAATTAGAAATCAATCACACACAACCATTGTGACTATTATAAACATTGTATGGACAATAATATAATATAGTATGATATATAATATATATAGTATGATATAATATAATAAAATATAATATATAATATATAATATAAGATAGTATAATATAAAAATATATACACAAATCTATGAATAAATAAATTTTCATTTTTATTTATCGTACCAAAAAAAAAACAAACAAACAAACAAACAAACACAAAATTGACCAAAATTTCGATCACATTGAAATGTCTTTTTTATTATTTAATAATACAGAAAAATAATTAATTATTGGCATTGAATTATTTGGGATTTGATTTTCTTTTTCCCTTGAATTTTCTCGTATCGCAATAAGCAAAATTAGAACGCATTAAAAATATTTTATGTTGTTCCTCTACAGCCATTGTTCTTTGTATTCGTTCAGTTGCAATACGTTCAATCGTGTAAAATAATTCCGAATGTATGGAAACACATTTTCGAAAATCTTTCCTATCGAGACGATAAACTTCACAAACGTCAACTGCAATCACAGTTGCAACACGTTTCTGATTGGGTACTATTAATGCAACTTCACCAAAATGAGCCCCATCATCCAAATAACATATCTAAATTTGTAATTTAATATACCAATCATCATCGTTGTAATATTTTTGTATTTTCAAAATAATATTCAAATTGTGGTAAAAATTACTTTCTTCCCGGTTGGTGTTAAAACAACGACTGTACCAGTACATAAAAAAAACATACAATCACCATGAGTCCCATCTCTTATTATAACGTCATTTTGCAAATACAATTCGAATTTTAAATTTCTGACGATTGATTTTAAAACGTCCAATGGTAAATTACGAAATATATCAACATTTTCTACCAAACGTCTGCAAGATTGCATTGCAATTTCATCACGTAATTGTTCTAAAAATATATTTTTGCAAAAATTAGTCAAATAAAAGAAAATAAATGACAAAGATATAATAAGGTTGATTCGTGTAATAAACCTGAAAATTTGCTCAAAATTTGTTTCTCACGAAAAAAACTGTTTTTGAAACGATGACCATAACATAATAATAATCGATTTTTCATTTGCAATGGTAATTGTTTTTGTCTTGCAAATGCTTCTATATGACTGATTATTTCGTTATACTTAGTTTCAGCAGCTTCACTGAATCCTTTTACCTGCAGCAACGTAACTAACGTTAACAAAACTAAATAGATCGTTGAAAATATTTCATCGACGACTCACTTATAATGTAACATTCGACAAATCTGCCAAATATCATGAGTAAAGAATTTAATACGATGTCTGTGTCAGTTTTAGGTGATAATATACCATAACCACTTGCCAAAAGATTTTCCAATACTATGAAAAGTGCATGCTGAAATTTAACAGCTATACTTTCCTTTTGTATCTCTGCTATCCAACAATCGGTGCATTCCTTTAACAAATATTTCAATTAATCAATGTCAATTAATTCTCCGTTTCAATTATATATACTCACCGTTAATGAAATATTATAAAAATGTAATGTCAATATTGGCAAAATATAACACAAACATGTGAACCATATAATCAAATAAAATCCTAACACCAATGTGATTGTCGTTTGATAAGAAAAATTTTCTATCCTTAAATATTGATAAAACCAAAAGATGTAACAATTTATGGTTGGATAACGTGTCAATTTTAAAAGTGGTAGAATATTAATTAGAGTTATGATATGATATGAATCATTTCCTGGTAATCTTCGCCATAATAAAGTTATGTGATCGTATGGTAATGAGGAAAGTATGTCAACCATAAGATAACCCTTTGAGTATCTTCTAAATAATTCAAACAAATATATCAATTTTTATATTACACACAAAATTGTTAATTTAAATTATTAATTAAATGATACTTGATTATTTTAGACAATCTCAATTCAACTTGTACATTTTTTTTATCATAATAACCGGTTATGCAATTACAAATAATATCCAACCAACATATAACATAAATCAAAATATTAATTTTATCCAAACGCAATAATTCATAATCCATGATAATAAATGAAATCATAAAAGGTATGGTAAAAAATGCTATTCCATAAATGACAATCATAAATATTTCCCATAGAAGTCTAATTAAAAAATCATCAAAGTATGTTAAATTGTTTATAAGAAAGAAAATTAATTTTTTGTTTGAATGTTTCATAGATTAACCTGAAATAACTAAATGGATGTATAACCCAATAATACTTAAGACGAAAGTGTCTTCTTTTTTCAACATTGATCGCTGTCATACTGTCCATGTATCTCATACATCTTGGTGTGCATTTATTTATACTGATTAATTTATACCATATTCGTTTAAAGTCCCAACAACTGACCATTTCATCCAAATCATCGATTCTCGTAAGTAATTCACAAACGTGACCTTGACCTATTGGAACATCGTTATCAGACATCACGAAAATTCTCAGATTAACTCCTTCATTTAATTTTATTCTGTTTCAAAGAAAACGTCAGAGAGAGATCGATTTCGATTTATCGATTTTCGAGAAATTTATGACAAACGAATAATTCATAATTTCAAGGGTTGCATCAAGGATTTTCAATTAAATTAATAATACAAAATAGTCATTTTTTAAATACAATTTACAAACTAAACTAAAAGAACCAGATCTTACATACTAAGGTTTCTAATTTTTTATTTCTTTTTACAAATAAACATTTTGTTTATACTTTCAGGCATTCATTTTATTAAGAATACGTTTAATCTCGAATTTACTTTTGTATATATTGACTTGTTATATTATTTATATCTGTTTTTAATAATGGCCATTAATAGTACAACAAAAATCTTCCTGTAATAAATGAAAGTTTAATATATCCGATCTATTGTTATAAACATTTTCGATAAACAATCATACTTTGTCATATAAAATAGAAATGTACTGAAAATGTAGTAATTATTAAAAAAAAAAAAAAATTGTTTATAACAAATTGTTTATAACAAATAGTGTAAACTAATTTTTCAACTAATCATCGTCAATGTTACGAAAAAGAAACCACAAAAAAAATTTGCTTTTATTTAATGGATTATATAAATTTATAAAAATTGTTAATTAACAAATTGTTTATAAACAATAGTGTGGGAAAATAATAAATAATTTTCCCTGTAAAACGATACCCTTGTTATGTTTCTACGATTTTTAGTTTGGGAAATATTACTGTTTACGTGTACTGTTTATTTTTTTCCATTCATATTTGGATATGACTGAGTGACCTACATAAATTCTTGGAAATTACGAATGTTTACAATCGTCAGCTGTTATGCGTAAACAGATGTTACGCTACGCTTACTACGACCGATTTATGAATGAACGATCAATGTAAATCTTGCGAAGGCAATATCTTCCGAACCAAAAGTCGTAGAGACTTCAAACAAAAACCATTTTAAAGAGGAAAATGCCCTTTTTCTACCCACGCACTTAAATATTATCGATATGATAAGATCGATTTCATTAATTTTTTATAAACACATATATGCGCCTATTTATGTATAACAAATTATCTCTTTAAAACGTATTTGAACAATCTAAATAAAACTTTGTAAAATAATAATCAGATTCTATTAATAATGATATAATGTTATGAAATAATTTCCAAATATTATTTAAACAACACTAACACGTATAAATGTGATCAATCTCATATTTTACAGGAAGAAGATACATCATAGACTATTAATAATCCCATCGACTACTTTTAATTGTTCTTTTTTCTATTTTCCTTTTTAAATAAATTTTCTATCGTTTCGTCAGTCTTTCGTTATACTTAAATTTACTATCGATTTTAATTACAAATCGCATAAAAAAATACCATCATTTTCGAACAAACACCGGTATGTAATATACAATATACATACAATATCCAATAATGAAATCGTACAATACATGTAAAACCACCACCGGTTAACTCTTTCCCCGTACAATGTTTAATAAATATTCGAATATTGATCTTATTTCTTCAACAACATTATGTGATAATACATATATTTGTTTCTTTTTCAAAATAGTTCAATAATCTTTCAAGTATTTACTATTAATCGTCATCGTTTTTTTGTTCTTTTTTAAAAAAATTACTTCACATAATGAGTCTTACAATATTGATTATGAGATTTTCGGATGTGACAATCCGAGAATATTATTCTGATTTAATATCTGTCCTTATATGGCAGTGTCCTATCCTTGTTTGATATTTTTTTTTTCAGCCCCACCCCCATCCCCAGTTTGTTTCCTTTCATTTATTTGTTTTACGTTTACTGTGTTTATTTTTTTCCTTTTTCCTTTTTCCTTTTTTTTTCTGTATTCGAGTTCAAACATCAATGCCAAGAAGTTCTCGACTGTCGGCCTTGGAAAGTCGACGACGTAAGCTACGACGACGAAACTCCTTCCATCAGACTGATGCACGTTTAACGCGAAAACTCGCCGAGGTTGATGGTGGCCTGTAACCTTGATAACCAGACGAATCCAATAATTCCGAATTAGTTTGTCCAAGACACGTGCATGAACACACGCTTACGCAATCATCGGTATCGTGAATTATCGGGACGAGATTTGGCAAAGCTTTCCCATTGACAGCAACTACTTCACCGTCCAAGGTTAACACGTGATCGGCAGTTATTTGTAAATCGTTATCCTCCCTACGTGGATCTCCGGTATTCCTGAATTAAAAATAAATATAAAAAACAAAAAACAACAACAAGAGAGAAAAGAATTAATTTTTGTTTGTTAATTGAATTCTAATGAATTCACAATTTCTAATGAATTATTTACATTGTCATAAAACGTAGAACCAATAGATTTATGCTAGCTGCTACAACAGCCAAACCAAATAAAATGAACACCAGACTTAGAGCCACGTAACCTGGTTTGTTTGAAAGTGCATGATCGTTCTGAAAAAAAAAAATAAAAAATAAAAAAAGTGTATAATTATTTTATATAAAAAAATAATGAAGTTTAATAATAATGAAAATCACCTGCAATGCAACGAAATCACCGAAACCAATGGTCGTTAATGTGACGAAACAATAATAAAAACTATCGAAATAACTCCAACCCTCGTAACGTGAAAATACCGCAGCACCAGTAGTGATGATTATACTTGATAATAATCCAGTAGCCAACATTAGGTTCATTTCCGTAGCGTCGTTTTTTTTACATCTCATGTAAGTCTTTGCACGTCTTATAACAACCGATGCAAATTTGTTTAAACGTTCGCCAATACTTTGAAACATTACCAGACCAAGTGGTATGCCAACCATAGCATATGCCATGCAAAATGCTTTGCCACCAATGGTGACAGGTGTGGAATGTCCATAACCTCGACAAATAAATTTACAAGTTAATTAATATATAAGAGCTTTTGAAAATACCCATTTAATTCTTTCAAGCAGAAAATTGACAAGAAAATTACAACACTCATAATGAATATGAAATGTCTAACTATGCAAATGTAGGTATTAAAAAGGTAAAATATTACCGTGTACCTAAGAATAAATTTAATTAGATATTTGAATAAAGATAAGATTATATTATTTACCAATCATAGCGAGAACAACTGTAGCAAAGTAGAAGGCACCAGCAAATTTCCATTGAGGACCCGCTTTATGGGGTTTATTTTCAATAATTACGATTTCCACCATTCTATAATCCTCCTCGCTTATGTTATACTTTTTCATCATATTACGACGTATATCTAAAAAAAATTCAATCCACTCGTCAAACCTTATACACATAGTAAACAATATAAATTAAAAAAAAAAAAAAAATAAATAAATAAAAAATAAAAAATAAAAATCGTACCTGATAAAAATTCGCGACGTTTCCTTTCGGTGTCCGATTCAAGTGCATCGAATACCGCAGCACCAATCAAAAGGTAAATAAATGTGCACACTACCAACGATAAAGTTCTAACGTTTTGTCTCTTCATCTTCGTTAATTAACTTTACAAAAGGATAACAATTTTTTGTACAATTCTTTTTAACAATAATTTCAATGCAATTTTATGAAAATTGTTCCATTCACACATCAATGAAACACATAACGTCCATTGAAAAACACTCAACACACGATTATCATCATCATCATCAAACTCCATTGGGAAAAATTGAAACAAATTTGAACCATATCGATTATTATTATTATTTAAATCATTCTGTTTCTTTTTTCTTTGAACATACTTGAAAGATTATCAAACAACTCGTGTTGTCGTGGTGCATGCACTTGTCTACAAAAACGTACAAAGTAACACAATGTTGCTTCTTCTCTGAACCCTCTCACAAACCCAGAACGAAACTCATGAAGTATTGATCGGTTCAACCACTACGAGATATACCTCCATGGAAATATGAAACACACCGCACCTAGTGATTTCTCCATAGATATAAATTGACAGTGGTAAAGATCTGTACTGTTACAGACACATAGTAGTCAATGTTGTTGTAAAATCAAACAGATTTATCTTGTAAGATAAACGACAGTGTTGTTATCGATCGTTGCTTACAATTCCGTGATACCTGTGGAAGATAATTCAGAGGACTACTCTGTACTTTTACCGACCATCAATAAATTACTATTTTAAAAAACACTTTAAACTATTTTGTTTAATGATATAATTATAACCATAAAAAATTTACGTAGGTGTCACAACAGGGTATTAGTAGAATCCTCAAACCTTTCTAAATCTGCAGAAAATAATTAAAATGTCGCCAGTAGGCTGTGGGGGATGATTTATAAGATCTGCCTAAATGACTATTTTAAATAATCAAAAATAAAATGAAAATTAAATTTGAAGTTAAAAATGTTTATAATTAATAATAAGAATAAAAGAAACTTTTGACAAATGTTAATTGAATTGAATTATTATGTAACTTGAATTAATTATCCAAAGATATACTAAATGTTTATTAATACGTATCTCTTATTAAAGGATCCATCAACGTTATTATCATGACTATTATAGTTAAGTATAAAAGCAAAAATAAAAGTAGTTAGTTAATGCTTTGAAATTAACTCCATTATCGTATTTTCCAGGAATTCAATGGACCTCCTTTCTTCCCTGGAATCACAGCCTTGACCCACTTTCAAGTTTCATCTTTATTATAAGATAAAGTTAAAGTTATAAGGGCTGAAGATTATTATTCGTCCAAAAAATATCACAGTTAATCGATCGATCGACCATTGATCCATACAAAAATTCACACCACGACAAATATATTATATAAATATTAGGAAAGATAAAGAATAGAAAGAACAATATTTGATATATTTGTATTTTGTATCTTACCTTTTTTTACCTTTCATTAAATGGAATCTTTTATAAAAGGTGAACTCGGTCGAAATTCTTTCATTGTCGAGTACTCGCTGCTAACGACGATCAAAGAACAATAAATCTTCAACTTGGTGACCCCTGATGATAAATGAAAACCATTTGAAAAGTTTTACCACAAAAATATCCGAGAGAAAGATTTCAAGCAAAGACTTCGTAACTACTCGAAAAGATAAAGAAAAGAGAAAGGGAGAGGGATTATTTTTAAAGAGAAATGTTCTTCAAATAAACTATGCCAACTATGATTCAATTAATATAACAATGGAAAAGGAAATTACGTCAAAGCATAATGGCACCGTCGACGAAGAAACTGAATGAACGTAAAGTCACCAAGTACATCAAACAAAATCCATATTCTCGTAGATGGTGTTGTAATTGTCATTGTACAGGTGTTCGACAAAATTATCATCAAAATATTGACGTTGATGAATTAATTTGGAAACTTTTAAATATCCAAAAACATAACCAAGGTGATCAATATTAATTAAATTCTAATTCCGATATTGACAATAATCATTAGAAAAGTATTATTATATGATAGAAATGAACTACGAACTATAAAATAAATAGGTTTGAGAAAAAGAATATGTTTGATACCTGTTCAATACATATGTATATTGTAAAAAATTGTCATTCCAGTCACGAGAAGAACGTGGCAACTATCTCGAAGAAGAATGCCACGCGAGAGAAATGTGCATTATCGGAATTTAAGTTTATCTCCGTACGAGAGAGATTCGATATCACGTGTTAGCTCGGAATCCGGAACACCCTCATCTTTGGAGAACCTAACCGAACCTACGGATGTTTCAAGTGCTGGTTGTTGCTCCAGTACACCTAATTTCGCTAACGATGATTTCACTCATTCCTCCTATGTGGAAAATATTGGTCCACAATGTTCGATAAATGCCAACAGAGCTTTGTTAAACAAAAGATCCATCGTTCAGATTATTAACAATTACATCAGAGCTGGCTTCGAAGAAGGTTTTGTATTTGTTATTTTATGTGCACGCATGATTTCATCTGAAATGATTGTAATTTGTTCATTTTGTAGGTAAACGACAAGCAAAAATATACATTCGCAAAGCACTCAGATTCGGCGTTAAATCAGGATACTTAATACCTGAAGGCCAAGTACTTAAAATATCTCCTACCTTGGCAAACTCAAGACAAATTGAGACACATTTACGAAAAAGAAAAGGACATACTTGTAGAGTCAATGACAATGGCCTTGAATTGGTTCAACGAAAGATTAGAAAGGACACCACGTTATCGCGAAATGTTAAAAATAGTGATGAATCTACCAACGAGAAACCTGAACGAAAAGATTTGAAACCTAAACGTCGAGGTTCGAGAAAAAAGGAGACAAAATCTAATGTTAAAAATTCGAATGAAAATCAAATCACCGATGATAAGAAAGATAAAGAAAAATCGAAAAATAATCGTCGTCGTAAAAAACAAATCAAGTTAGTGTCAAGAAAAAATTCGAATAAAATTAAAATAAAGAAACAATTGTACATAGAAGAAATCTATTTCTTTGACATCAATTTTTCTGTTCTTTTTCTAGAACTGGAAGAGTAGAAAAACGTGGAAGAAAGCGACAAAGAAGCGTCTCAAAAAAAAAGTCGTCGTCAAAGAAAAGGCGTAGCAATTCGAAATCATTCGAGAAAGAAGAAAACGTAGAGAACGATCTTGATGTTTTTAATGATCAAAATAATTTAGAATTAAATGAAGAAAAATGTCAGAATGTTGAAGATCTTGAAGATGAGGTCAAGGACGATTCTAGCGAATTCATTGGTTGTTCATTCTCAAAGAATCAGCTTCTCGCAGATCAAGAAAACGACCAAGACAACGACAACGACAACGACAACGACAACGACAACGACGACGAGGAAAAAGAAAAGTGTGAAAATAACGAGGATCAAGTAGACGATTCCGTTTTAAAGAGAAACGAGGGATGAACAAATTCTTTAAGAATAAAACAAGAAAAACAAATACTTTTATTTATTTATTTCTTTTTTTTTTCTTTTCTACCAACGAACGGCTAAAGAAAACTCGACCTTTTGAAAAGCAATTTTTTTTTTCTTATCCCATCTTGTCAGTTATATCGGTTTCTTTTATTGGTTATACACGAAATCTAAATAAATTTTATTACATTTTATATTTTTACTAAATTTTCTGAAACATTTCACATATACATATATGTATATACTATGTATATGTAATTTGTCAAGATTTTGTATCAAAGTAAATAAAACGAAAATATATGACATTCGCTTTGCCACGCCGTTTTGATTCGCTCATATCAGACAATTTTGTTCATTTTCATATACAAACCGAACATAGTCGAATATATTTCGAGATATTTTGTCGTATGTCAAATATTAAATAAGATAAAAGAAGAAATGTTACAAATCTGTTAACTAATCGCGGCTAAATCAGTCATATCTTTCAATTCATGTTCATTTTTAATTTCTTTATTTTTTTTTTTTTTTTCTTATTAGATTAATTACAAATTTTTGATCAAATATAAAAAGCAATAGTAAAAAACTATTTGAATATTTTTAAAAAGCATTTTATACGATTAAATCTAAAGTTATTGTTATTATTATTATTATTATTATAACAAAATCGAAGTGTGAAAACGACGTTGGATTATTTCTTTTCCAATTCGTTCAAAATTTACAACAACAAAATTACGTAAGTATACATTAATAACAAATTTAATATAAAATTATTCGTGAGTTTACTTAAATTCCGAATTATAATAGATTTCAAGTGATTTAAATTAATAAACAAAAAAACAGAAAAAAATTTAAAAACAAAAAAAAGAAAAATAAAAGAAATTTTTTTTTAAAATGATAAATGATTGAACCAACGGAATAACGTAACGCGTATCAAACGATCTATCCATACAGATAGGAACATAAACGTGTATTTACGTGTATTTGTGTGTATATATAAATGTGTGCGTGTCTGTGTGTGTCTGTGTGTGTGTGTGTGCGATATGGCATGCCAGTGACCTATATATTCAGGTAATAATTTATTCCTTAAGGTCAGTAGTCAGTGGCATCGATTCTTTTATATCATATCCACCTTTTGTCGATACACCGTGTGTGTGTGTGTGTGTGTGTGTGTGTGTGTGTGTGTGTGTGTGTGTGTGTGTG